ATAATAGCGTGAAATTGCGTATTTGTAACAAAAATTATACCACTGCTCTATTTATATCAAGTGTTGAAAGTCATTTTCATCAGATCCCTGCCACAGGCGGGGGTGGCTGTGTCTCACTTTGCAACCCGGCCTGGCCATGTGACACAGACTCGCTTACTTTCTTAATCTGCGCTGTTTTCAGTTGTGTTGTTGGAAGCATGGCAGAAAGACACTGTAGGTTGCATACCTCCACGTAAATAGGCAGTGTGGCTGCAGTGGGTTTTGTAGGGGGGCTGGGGGTCAGGGCGGGTTAGGTTGAGAAGGAGCTATAATGGAGTACAAGTAGAGAGGCTAGCCACAAGGTCAGCATTTCAAACCAACCGACCCCTTCTTGGGAGAAAGATGAGGCTGTCAGCTCCCATAAAGATTTAAAGTCTCGGAAACCCAAAGGGACCGTTCTACTGTCCTATTAGGTGTCTGTGAGTTGGAATCAACTCAGTGTCCACGAGTTTGGTTTTTTGAGAGGTTGGGGAGAGTTAGGGCATAACACTTAACCGAGCACAATCTACTATTAAAGTCCAGGTTCTAAAAACAATGCTAGATTTCCAGGTTTACTGTTAACCGTTTTTTCCCTCCTTGTCACAAAACTCTTATTTGTGTGATATTGATAGTTTCATTTTATAGACAGAAAACAGAGACAGATTAAACACACACCCACACAGTAGATTTGAAGTGTGGTTATGTATGTCTAACTCTAAAACTTCTGAATACTACCTTTCCTCCATACGCTTGTTTCAAACTAGAAGTTGGAGCATGGAAATAGAAGAGTTTAGCAAATGTATACTGCTACTCAACTGCTGTTAAATTAGAATCCTAACTAGTTACAAATGATCAGAAAATCTTGGGGATAAACATAATTTTGGATTACGATATTCTAGTGACCAGTGCCTTCAGGAACAGGGCTAACCTTGCCAGCAGGCTTGACATTAAGACATTTTGGCTCTAAGTCAAAACAAAACAAAACACCTCACTGCTATCAAGTAAATTCCAACTCAATAGTGACCTGACAGGATGGGTAGAATGACCCATGTGGGTTTCCCAGGCTGTCACTCTTTCTGGGATTAGAAAGCTTCATTGTTCTTCTGAGGAGCTGCTGGTGGTTTTGAACTGCTGCCCTTGAGGTTAGTGGCCCATCACCTAACCCGCTACACTGTATTCTAGTGTGCCTCTGAGTAAGTTTCTTAATAACCTCTCAGCCTCAGCTTGAGCTCCAGGCACCTTGATTCTCTGTGCATTGTGCTGCTTCAGGAGATGTAGCAAGTACTATATACTGGAAGATATATAATGCATTTAAATGATGCAATTTGAAGAGGGAAAAAAATGTATCCTACGCAAGTGTATTATTAAAATGTCTCCTTGAATCAAGTAAGTAAGTATTTATGGACATGTTTATGTCATTTTGAAACGTGGCATTATAAGTGATATAATTACAATGAAATTTGACCTACAGAAAGTAAGGATGTTATGCTGTTCCTGGATATTTCCCCCCCAGAACACACAAAAATGAGTTTTAAAATTTGGTCCCCATAGCTGATTTCTTTCATTGTTAATGTTCTTACTGCATTTACATGTTTTATCTTTTTAAGACTAAGTGTTCTTTCTTGCTCAACCTTAAGGAAAAACACTGCCCTGACCAGCTTTAAGGTTCCACAGAACTACCTGGCTGTCCAGTCACTTAAACTAACTTTAAAAAGAGAATTACATTGTCAGATTGACTTAATTAGCAAACTGCTCATTTTGAGGCATAGATTCCGCTCAGCGGTTCTTTTTCATTTATTTATTTTGAAGTTCAGATGCAGTAAAAAGAACCTTGGCTTTGAGCCCTGGAGATCCAGGTTCAAATGTGATTACCACTAATTTTATGGCCCTGGTCAATTTACTTAAATTCCCGGAACATAATTTCCTTCATCTGTTAACAAGAATAATAATGATGACTGAGGATAATTGATAAAATCAGACTTTTAAAAATAAAACGACTGACAATATTTTTAGTTGTTATCACACCAGCTCTGACTCGGTGAACTTACATGGAACAGAACACAGTGCCCTGTACCCTTTCCATGATCTTCGATCATTGTAAGCAGTTACTATGTGTTGGAATTGACTTGACAGCAGTGGGTTTTTATTGTGTCAAGTTATCTCTGAGGGGCTCACTCAGGTTTACTTAGGGTCTGCTAAGCATGTCGGATCCCTAATGGGCGAAGTGTTGGACCGTGTGGTCCACCAGCCTCTCTGTAAGAGAAAGATGAGACTGCTCCCGTAAAGATTTAATCTTGGAGACCCAAAGGAGTTTTACTTTTTCCTGTAAAGTTGTTGTGAGTCAGAACCGAATTGATGGCAGTGGGCATGGTTTGGTTTTTACCAAACACGTAAGGAGCCCTGGTGAGTCGTGGGTGATGTGTTGGGCTGCTAACTTAAAAGTCAACGGATGGAGCCCTCCAGCTGCTCGGTGGGAGAAAGAGGAGATGCTGCTCCTGTAAAGATTTATTTATTTTTTATTCACGTAACTCTTTTTTTTAATTGTGGCAAAAATAAGCACAACAGAACATTCTCCAATTCAACAACTCGTACATGTGTAATTCAGTGCTCCTGTATAACCCACAGAGGAAGCTCTGTTTTGCTCTACAGGGTCGCTTTGAGTAGGAATTGACTTGAGGGCAGTGAGTTTGGGGAGTTTTTTTGATTTGTTCATGGTCAGTTTTGTGCTTACTGGTTGTTCAGATTCCAGGTTCAAAGAGTCCTTCCTGCAGTGCTTGGCTGTCCCACATAAGTGCAGGAAGCCCCTTCTGCCTAATGAGTTTTACACACAGCCCATTTATATGGATATTAAGTGTTCACCCAAATATTTGAGAGTTGGGGACCTAAGTTTTAAGATACTTATTGTTATTAAAATTATATGTATATTTCAGTTGATTTTTGTATAGCACAGGGATGGAGAAATCCAATCCACACTCACTGTCATTGAATGGATGCACTTATAGTGACACTGTAGGGCATTGTAGAACTGCCCCTATGAGTTTCTGAGACACTGCCTTTCTCCTTCTGAGTGCCTGGTGGTTTTGAACTTTGGACCTGTGGATTGCAGCCCAACATGTAACCACTACATCACCAGGGCTCCTCTAAAGATGGGAAACTTATCTGTTTTTCACTTGCATTCAATAAGACAGGGATAAGTATAAACATTTTATATCTTACCCTTACATGCAATTGAGGGAAACTTTTAATCTCATTTTTACAAAAAAGTTTGTGTGATGCACTTAATTTTAGAAATGATGAAGGGGACATTTTATGAAACAACACCACCATCTTGTGGCCTTCCAGAATATTGGTGCCAAACTTATGTTTTCTCTACTGTGAACACATGCTGTCTCTGATGTGGGCCAAGGGTACTATCAGCTTTGCAATCGATAGTTATCGTAAATGGAAGCCTGGTAACACTGGAATGAGCATTAGGCTTCTAATCATAAGATCGGTGATTCAAACCCACCAACCGCTCCAGGGGTGAAAGATAAGGCTGTTTGCTCCTGTAAAGATTTTAATGTCTCGAAAATCCAAAAGGTCATCAGGTCACTATGAGTTGGAATCCAATAGATTACAGTGTTCTGTTAGTTTTTTTGAATATTACTACCAAGTTGTTGGGAGCCATGCTGGCATTATGGTTACAAAGTTGGGTTGCTAACTGAAAGGTCAGCTGTTCGAAACAACTAGCAGTACCTGAGGGAGAAAGATGGGGCTTTTTTGGAAACTCCACCACAGTTCTGTCCTATCCTAAATGATCTCAATGAGTTGGCATCAGCTCGATGACAGTGAGTAGTGAGTACTGAGTTGCTGGCATCTGGCCTGGACATTGAGAAGTGTCTGCTATAATGAGCACCATATACTTTTGTCCCTTTGAGTCTTTGAATATTTTGATAAATATGTCAAATGAGGATTTTAGGGTACACACCTCTCTGCTTTTGTACTGAACATGCATTTTGGAACTGGAACTGAGTCACAATAGTTTCTCTTACAGATCCAAATTAGCAAAGCGAAGATAAAAAGAGGATATGAGTGGTTTATAGTCCCACTTTGTAGGATATTAGTGAATGGTAAAAGTTGAAATAAGTTCATTGTAAAGCAGAACACTTTTCTGTGTGATTGCCTGAGAGAAATAAAAACTTAAAACCCAAACCAAAGCCTTTACCACTGAGTCAATTCTAGTTCATAGCAATTTTTAAGGATAAAATAGAACTGTTTCCAAGACTTCAAATCTTTATGGGAGCAGGCAGCCTCACCTTTCTCCCATGGGACAGCTGGTGAGTTTGAATGGCCAACCTTGAGGTTAGCAGCCCAGTGTTTATCCTGCAGCACTACCAGGCCTCTTTTAAGTAAAACATTAACTTTTATATATATGTGTATATACATATATATATATGAATATAAATTATTTTTATGCAGGAAAGTGAGTAAAAAGCAGGAAGAGGAAGTCTTCATGAAAGGGGAGATGTGGCATGAGACGTGTGTGCTTGTGCGTTTGCATGGGTGCATGCACGTGTAAGAGAGTCCCAGGTTAATGTTGCTGGAAAAGGAGAGTTGAAAATTGCAGCCTGAGTAAAAACAGCCTGAATGTCTTGGGAAGAATTACTATTTTTACTTCTGCAGGTTGAAGATTTGGAATTCTGAAATCTGGTCAAGAGAAATAAAAAGAGGAATACTGTTAAAAGTAGTCAGAACTCAAAGAAATTGGACCATAAGCTTCATTCTGGGAAGGTCATTCTGATTCCCAAGAAAGTAAATATCTCCTTGAAGCTCTTTACAATGAGCCCTCATAAATGTTTCTCTGTAGCATCCCATCCTGTGCTCTCTTCTCGGAAACCCTTTGTAATCCCCGTAGTTGGATTACCCACCTTCTCTTTTGTGCCTTAGAAGTACTGTTGTGTGGTTTGCATGTTTGAGTCATAATCACAGTGAAAGCTGTCTGTTTGTTTGCAGATTTGTCTCCTCACTAGACTATGAGCTCCTGGGAAGAAGGAATCGTGTCTTACTCGTCTTTCTGTCTCCAGTGTCTGGCCCAGTTCTTGGTACATAGTAAGTGATGAATTTTTTGAAAACTAAGACTATATTTTAACAGTCAAACCCCATACATGTTGATAGCTAATATGCCTATATAGACCTAGTGTTATGTTGCCTTATAAAATATGGCATATATCAGTACATTCTATTTTAAGTGCCACACAACTCTGATATTGAATGTGAGGATGAATTGTGTTGAAATCAATCATTTTATTTATGATATATCTTTTTTGAGTGACTGGTGGATTTGAGCTGATGATCTTGTGGTTCCCAGCCCAGCTAGTAGCCCACAATACCACAAGCACTCCTTCTAGATTATGTTCCAGCGCTCACTGCCATTGCCTCGATTATGATTCATGGTTACCCTACAGGACAACATGCTATTTAATTTTGAATCCTGGCCCCAATGATGGGGATTGTTACATCTGTTGCATGGGTTTGTGCTTAACATGCATTAGTCTATTAGAGAACTCCCACTGTGCTTTATTTTCATGTATTTTAGTTTTTTTAAATCTTGATCACTCTTGCCAGGCACTTGTGTGTTTTAAATCATCTTTTCTAAGAATAAACTTCTGGATTTGTTGATCTTTCTATTTTATTATATTAATTTCTATCCTTTATTATCTCATTCAATTTTTCTTTTGTTTTTTGCAAGCCGATTAACTAAATTTTAACTTGTTCTGTATTACTATATTACTAGTATAGGTCTTTAAATTTCCATCCAAGTAAAGCTTTTTCTGTTCAGAATTTTTGGTATAGGATACTTTCATTATCATTCAATTCTTAGTTTGGTGGGGTTTTTTTGTTCTTTCAAGAAATTCTAATAAAGTTTCTTCTTAGACTCATGTAACATTTAGGACTTTTTTCTACTCATATTTAGAGATTTTATGTCTTGTTACTGGTTTTTAACTAATTATATGTTATGATCAGAGACTGGGAACAATAAGATATCAGTTCTTTGAAATTCAGTGAGATTTTCCTTACGGCCCATTATTTTTGTTTTGTATTTCCTCTTTGTGCTTGAAAAGAATGTTTAGTTCCTAAGAATTGTGTATTGGGTTTGACTTATGTGGTCCATCAAATCATTATCTGTCCTTTGATCCTTGTGTTTTGTTTCCTTTTCTCGCGTTCACTCTGCTGTATTATTGGCATATGTTGAAATCACCCACAGCGGTGCAGATTTGTCCATTTCTTCGTGTCATTCTGTCATCCCTGTGCACCCCTATCCCCCTTTGATTATGAGTTTGCCCTTCTCTGGATTGATCTGCCCGGACTGTCCCAGGAGAGACGAAGAGAAAGCACGGGATGGGGGTAGCGTCCTACTCTGTGTCATTGTGCCTGGTTGTCGGTTTACCAGCAACCGCCAGTGACCGGCTTGCTACCTCGCTCAAGTTGGAGGCGGGACTGCCTGCCTGGCTTTGGTTCAGGTGGAGACATGGAGTCTTGATCCTTTCTGCCATCCTTTCTGCCAGAGCTCTTCCACTGGGCTCGTTCTCTGTCTCCTGGACCGCGGCTGGAATACCCAAGCCGCCCTTTGGGGACTCAGCCCATTAGCTCTGTTCATCTTTCTTTTCTGGACCTTCCTCCCATGGCCGAGCTGGAGCTGCTTTTCTCCCCCCTTTTGCAGGGGATTGCCGCTCTGTGTCTGAATTCTGAGAGAGCCAGCCTAGAGCTTTGCTTACCTAAGCGTTCTCCTTTGGTGGAGGGGATTCACATTGTCTTTCGAGGCTGAGCAGGTTTGGGGATTCACGTTGTCTTTCGAGGCTGAGCAGCTCAATAGTAGATGACAGTCCTCCTAGCTTACCGAATGTTTCATTTTCCAAAGCTGTCTAACTTTCCTTTGTGCCTCCTTGTCTGACTTCTGCTACATGCACCTGAAATTCCACTCTGATCACTCAGTGTGTGCAGACGGAGAGCATTGGCCTGAACGAGGTCTAGGACTCTTGAATATAGTAGGTGGACCCCAAGTCCACTGCCATCGATTCAATTCCAACTCATAGTGACCTTGCTGGTCAGGGTAGGCCCGCCCCTTTGAGTTTCTGAGACTTTACATTTTGACAGGAGCAGATCGCCTCATCCACCTGGTGGGTTTGAATTAGGATCGATTAAGCAACTAACAAACAGCTATTGATCGTGTCTGTCAGTATCTATCTACATGCAGTTATCAACAAGTGAAGAGAGTATAATGATTCATAGTACTCGGCTCCTGGATTTAGGGGAAGGATCTAAGCGGAGCATAAAGAAGACTGTAAACAGGGAAAGCAAGCAGAACATCCAGGTAAACATTAATGTGAACACAACCTTGTTCGGAATCCTCTGAAGTGCTATCACAGATGAAGGACCAGGCGAGCCTTTCAATTTGGCTCTTGTAGGGGAAAGCTGAAGTAGCTCTCCTTTGACTTTTCTTCAAATGAAAATTAGATTGGGATGGAGTGGAATTTGGAAAATAAGTATCTTTACAAAGCAAGAGTTACTAAGGATCTACACAATGCAACTCGTGATCCTGGGCTAGATGTTGTTGTCGTCAGGCCCCTCTGGGTGGGAACCAGCCTGGCTAGACCTGCAGCGCCCTCACAGTCCCGCTCCTGCTGTGCTTGCGTCCGAGGTGGCAGCCGCTGTGTCAGTTCATCTCCTTGAGGCCCCTCTTCCTATCGACCCTCTGCTTTGGCCAGCAAAATGCCCTTCTCCAAAAGCCTAAAGCTGCAAAAGCCAGAACTCGTCTAAGGCAGAGGGAGACCAGTCAAAGAAGGAAAACTCCGATATTTTCCACCAGCAGAGAGTTGATCGAAAAGGGTCAAGGTGGCACCCTGCTAAAGGTGGAACACTTGTGAGACCCGGAAAAAAAGACAGCCCCATCAGTTCCGGCTCTCACAGAGTTTACTGTATTACAAAGTCGTGATAAGGTTTTCAGTAGCCAGTGATTCAATAGATTGCTGGTCCTTCCAAGGCCTGTTGGTGACCCTCATTAAATGCCTAGCCTTTTGGTTAGCAGCTCAGCACAGCAGCTGCATACAGCATCTTGGGACTTCATTGTTCACATAAAGGGTTTGATCTCAAGATATATGTTAATTACACTTTATGAGTAACTTAAGTTCCACATGACTCACGCTAATTTTTTAAAAATAGTATCATTGATCAAGAGCCCTGGAGGTACTCTTAGGTAAGTTTTGGATTATTAACCTCAAGGTTGATTGTTCAGAACCACCAGCGAGCCAGTCCTTGGGAGAAAAATGAGACTGCCTGCTTTCATACAGATTTACAGCCTTAGAAACCCTCCATAGAGTTACTATGAGTCAGAATTGACCCTGGAGGTGAGAATCACTGACCTGCTCAGACCAAACCAAACTCACTGTTGCTGTGTTGATGCTGACTCCTAGTGACCCTATAGGACAGAGCAGAACTGCCCCCATGAGCGTCCGAGACTGTCACTACTCCTGTAACTTTGACAGGAGTAGAAAGCCATCCAGGCCTCTCTCCAAAAGAGTTGCTGGTGGTTTCGAATGCTCACTTTGCAGTTAAGAGATGAACTTGGAACCACTACAACCCCAGGGCTCCTTAATGACCTGCTAGGAGTAATAAAAACAACTTTATATTTCTGTCTCTGTGTATTTGTGTTTGCTGAAATCTATCTGTAAGCATGGATCTCTGACTATTTCATTACCTTTTCTTATCATTAATAAAGGAGAAAGTTAATGGCAGATTTTCTATTTCGTTTTTCTTCTACCCACTCAGAAAAACACTACATATTCATGCTGGCTTTGCCAGTTTTACAGTCCTCTCTGTCTCGTGAATTCCTGCCCTTGGAGTTCTTCTGGAATACCTTTATATTAAACTTTTCATTTTGGAATAATTTTCAGACATAAACAAATGTTTCAGTACCTCATAAAAGAAATACCCGTACACCCTTCACTCAGGTTTCCCAGGATTACCATGTTACATAGCCCAAATATTATGATCACATTGATAAAATACTAACGAGAAGTTGGCCCGTTGCCTCACTGATAATATCATTTTCTGGGCCAAGATCTTAAAAGTCAAAGACTGAGCAATCCACCCATCTAAAGGATACTGAGCCAGACAGTGAAAGGAAGAACTATATTATTTCCATGGCAACTCAGTCACTGCTGCCGATTCAATTCTGATTCACACCAGCCCTACAGGACAAGGTAGAACTGCCCCCTTTGGACTTCCAAGGCTGTCCGTCTTTACAGGAGCCGATGGTAAGCAGATGCCAACCCTGTGTTAGCAGCCCAAGACATAAGGCACTATACCAACAGTGTTCAGTTCTAATGGGACAGAATTGTGAATATGGCATCATGCGCTGGTCTGAAATACTGTAATAGGTATGGTTCCTAGTCGATTCAAACTGACAGTTCCAATATCGACACTTATACTCGTGTTCAACACATCAATACAATTTGCTTTGTTTGTTCTTTTCAGGTGTAAGCTGAATTTTGGGACATGGCTACTGCTTCACCAAGGTCTGCGCCTAGTAATAACCACAGTGGGAGGTTGCAGTTACAGGTAACTGGTAAGTTGTTATTTTCATCGTAATTTTACATTGTGATTCCTGGATCAAATTTCCTTTGTTTATTCCATAAGAATCTTTTAGATCTACTATGGTGTATTGGCTTCACAGCAGGCCCCCAAAGGGCCTCTAAAAGTATTTTATTTATCGAGAGGACGGTGGGAGAGTTTGGGAACTGAAACGAACATCACCAAGCAGGCACTTACATGACTGATCGTGCGGAAAAAGATGCTGCGGCCCTCCTTCTTCCATTCATTCGGCTGCTCGTTCAGCCACTGGACAGTTATGTGTTTAACAGGGTTACCTCGATGGAAATGCAAGGCCGTCGTTCTCTACGAATTTACTGTGGCAAAGTGAAATGAAATGGATTTGATATGAACAGAGGGTTACCCTGTAGTGTGATCATTAACTAGGTTCAGTGAGAACCTACGTTAGGGGAGGGCCCCAAATCTGCTGGGATTGTCGGTGGCCTTTGGACAGTAGGTGAATAGGGTAAGTTAAGCACTCGCTTTAGCTCATGCATGGAGAACTGGAGTTTATTTCAAGTTCGATCGTCTACACAAGTATTAGATATTAGAGGAAGAGGGCATAGTGTCTGCATGAAGAGTTCTGTGGATCTAGATAAGCCCGTTGGATTGTGGTCTGCATGTTCAAGGAGGGAGTGGTCCCTAAAGCAGCCCATGAACTTCCAGAAACGTATCTGGCCTGATAAGCATGTTGAGGCTAGTTCAGGGTTGCTTGTAATAGCAAGAAAGCGGCAATGGAATATTAAGAAATGCATGAGGCAGGTCTGTGAGTCCTGGTTGAATCTATAGAGTGTGAAGCCATGTGGACTCCCATAGAGATGCTGAAAGGAGGGCTCATGTCTGTCACTAGAGATAGTGTTGGGAGTGGGAGTTGGGGGTGAGGAGAGATGTCTGCCGTTCTCGTGGTGCTCACTACTGTGAGCTTAGTGCTTCTTTCTAGGGGTTTTCAGTGAGTAGAGCTAGGAAAGTCCTGAGTTCATGTTTACTTTTCCAATTCAAAGTAAAACGTTTTCCACAGAAAAGGGGGAAAGATTTTTACGTAATACCAATTTATATTTTTATTTATTTTCTCACTGCAAACCTTGACTCCAAATGATAGTCACATTTATTACATTTGTTTTATTCTAATATACATATACCTCTGTGTAGGGTAGTTTCAAAATAAGATTAAAATGATAACAACACACCTACTAAATTCTGTTTAAAATGTCTTAGTGAGTTTTCCCCCTTTAGTATATATGGTCAGAATACCATG